GGGTTGTTATGGTATGGTACTAAAGGAAATGGACAGGGGTGGGGGGACAATTGTATGGTATGAGTATGAGAGGAGATCGAGGATAAAAATGAAAGTATGGTATGAGTTCAACATCCCTTACAACCTAACTCTGCACTGTAGTTCAGCATGATACTAACATCTGGCCTAATGACATACCTCACATAACATCAAATAGAGAAGAACAACAAAGAGAAAAGGTTGTTTGAATATAGAAACAAAATATGAAAGAGAACAATAATAAATAAAAGGCAGAGTTGGTTTACAAAAACAAAAAAAGAGCGAGAAATTATGATGTTTAAGATATCAAAAACAGCCACGCTACCTTCTTCTTTTTCCTGGTATCCACTACACCGTGCACAGCGTAGGTCTTTGTGACAACTTCAGGTTTGTGGTGAGCTTCTCCCTCGTGATATTCCACCAGCACCAGACCAGAGTGGATGGCGTCAGCAATCTGGAGCTTCTCCCCATGCTCAGTTCTGTGGGCACAAGGCATTTGGTTTTGATTTTGATTTTTTTTTTAAATTAACGTTTAAACACACATAGGCTATTTAGAAATTGAGATGAGGTAAACCCTTTTAAAAAAAAAAAAAGACTAAAATGCTTTTTAAAAATAAACGTTTAATACTATTCTTTAAACACACAAAGGCTATTTAGAAGTTGAGACAAAACCCTATTTTCTTTTTTTTTAAATAAAAGATTATAACACTATTTTAAAATAAATGCTTAGTAGGCCTACTATTCTTTAAACTCATATGGGCTATAAGAAGAAGTTGAGACAAGGGCCTATTTTATTTTATTTTTAATTTAAGACAAAAAACTTTTTTAACGTACTTAGGATATTTCAGAGTTTAATAGTTTAAGACCAGATATCAGTCTTTTCCTCAATCTTTTTTTTTTTTTATATTCTTTTTATAAATTTAATGCTGTGAAGGTTAGATGGGGTGAACAGATCCTTTCTTTATGCCAATCCACACATCTGAATTTTGAGTCTTGACAAGGATTGTGAGGATCTTCATTTCATATTTGTGAACATCACAGAGACCAATGAACAGTTCTCGATTTTCTCAGAAAAACACTTGTAAAAAATTTTCTTAAGTTTATGTTTGTAGTTGTACAAGAGGGTATATCATCTCAATGTTCCAATAACAATCAAATTTTCGTGCATTAGACATGGCTTAGTAGCGTAAAGATAAGTGTAGCAGCTCACATTAAAGAAGCACACCAACTGTGAAGTAATGGGATGCAACTCATACAAGTGTCCACATGTCGGACCATAGGGTAACAACATCAATGATGACACCACTACCAAAACAACAGCAATAACAGTGACAGGGCAAACAGCAATTGCAGCAATATACATTTTTGAAGTAAATTCAATGTTAAATCATGTCAGTACTTTCAGACACTTTGTGAAATTGAAACAAATCCATAGTGAAAGTAAAATATCTAAACGTTGTGTTAGCAACAACAAGGACAAACAACCCTAAAAATAACAAATTGACAACAGCAGCATGTCAACAATAACAACACCACCAACAATATGAAAAAATTTCTACAGTTATTTTCTGATTGGTTTCACCTACCTGTAGGTGGAGCTGTGGAGATCCAGAATATTCCTCTCTGCTGCCTGAGTAACGGTCAACTTCTCGTCTGATGTTGGGTCAAGGACACCTGTGATTGTGTAGGGTCGTGACTCCTGGGGAACACAGAAACATTGAATTAACAACAATTATTATTATGATAACAATTTAATCATACTAATTATAGAAGAAGAAGAAGAAGAAGAAGAAGAAAAAGAAGAAGAAGAAGAAGAAGAAGGAGGAG